AGAGAGAGAGAGAGAGAGAGAGAGAGAGAGAATGGAGATTGATCACTTCTAGGCAAATGCATCAGGCTGCTGGCATTGTCTGCTGACTTTCCAGTCAGGCTTGTGGCTGATGGATTTCTGGGTTGGCTCTAGCTTTCATTGCTTAGGAAACAAAAGACTAGGGCTGGTTTCTTTAGACAACACATGTGCAAGTATACAGTCCCATGCCATCTATGGACAGAAAGGGATATGCCAGTCCTTTAGACTGATAGGCACTGGGGCAGGGGTGATGGGAGAAGCTATATCTCATCAGTTCACACTAAGTGTCAAGTCACCTGCATCCTTCCTTGTAGCACAGGCTAACTTTTAAGACTACTATGCTGGGGGCTGGAAAGATGGCTCAGTGGTTAAGAGGACTGGCTGCTCTTGCAGAGGAACTGGGTTGGATTCCCAGCACCCACATAGTGGCTAACAACTGTTTGTAACTCCAGGTCCAGAGGATCTGACATACTCTATGACCTCCACAGGCACTGCATGACACAGGTGCATTTATACATATGCAGGTAATGCACTTATGAACATAAAATAAAAATATTTAAAAAGAGACTCTCATGTTGTACTGTGTTCTGAGCTACAGTCCCATGAGTGTCATCAATGGATCACAGGATACCACAACCAGCATTGGCCCTCTGAGGGAGACCATAGTGGGCCTGGAATGATAGGTGTGAACTGAGGCAGCTATCCCCATAGCTAACACAGGGGACTGTCTGTGAGCTGGGTTGCAGACAGAGGTGAGAGAAGCTAGGCAAATTCTTCACAGCTGAATTGTTCCAAAGGAACTTCCTGAGTGCAAACCCCATTAGGGCAGGTGTTAGCCCTGGTGACAATCCCTAACCACACCCACAAATGAACTTCTCAGCTGGGAAGTATGATTAGGCTCTGGGAGAGAGAGGTGGGGGAGAAGGAAGAGGTCTCGCTTCTTCCCAGCCTTACAGCCAGCCCTGTACAGTGTCATGGCCTGCACCTGCCAGGGACATGGATACTGGAGGCTCATGTCTGGGACTTCAGTGTTGAGCTGTGAGCAGCAGAGGCAGCCTGCTGGGATTCAGCAGGGCCTGTGGAGACTGGTGCTTCAGGCCATCCTAGCTGAGGAGCAGACTAGGCAGCTACGGCTGGACGCAGATGTGCTGAAGTCTTGGCAGATGTGTGGGAAGGGATTGCACCACTGCTTGCCAGCTGAGCTGGCCCCTCTGCCCTGCAGCTAGGGCCCAGGCTCTATTTTTAGGTCCCAGGAGACAATCAGTGAGCTGAGTGTAGTTGGCACACAGTTGTCTTCAGTATCTACCTGCCATCAGGTAGTGGCAATTACTCTACACTGAGACCTGAAGCCCAGGACCCTGCCAGGCTCCTACCTGATGTACCACCAGCCTTCCAAGTTCTTCCGGATCACCTCCACGGTGACGCCCTTCTCGAAGCCAATCTCATCTTTGCTTTGGCTGGTGTAGGGCTGCACGGTCACATACTTCTCCTCTGTGAGTGGGTGATCAAGAAAGCAAGATTATTTGAGGTTGGAGTACAGTTTCTGTTCCCTTTTGCCCTAGCCTGGTTTTACTCAGCTGCTTGCTAAAGTGCCCTGGGGTAGCACAGGCTTTTCCAGAGAAGGGAAAGGAGAGATCAGGATTCAGAGGGCAGAGGAGAGGTTGTAGAGTAAAGGGCCACTGCTGTTTACAGTAGATGCCAAAACCAGACAGGATCCCAGGACGCCCAGAAAAGCCCCAGGTGGCATGAAGTCAGGCCCTCCACCAGGCCACAGGGTTTGGAGGAAACTGCTTCTCCTAGGGTCCAAGTTAAAAAGTTGAAATCAATGCTAGGTGTCTCCTGAAGGCCTTGGGTACCCTGGCATACCCCTTCTCAAAACATGCCATGTCCCATTTGTACCCCACATGTACTCTCCTACCCCTGTCCTTTCCTCAACCTCTTAAATAGTCCCTTGGTTTCTAGATGCTTCTAGGAGTGCCTTCACCGAGCACCTGGTCCCATTAATGCAGCAGATCCCAGCATTTCCCCTAGAATGTTCCATGGTGCAAGTTCTATAGGAATAGTGGGTTTTGTTAAGATGACGGTCCTATGGCTGAATGCGGAGCTACCAAGTCCTCTCAGGTAGGCTGATCTCAAGGCCCCCAGTCCCTGCTCTACAGAGCTGCCTGCTCCACTCTCCCAATGTGCTTTCGGGGTTTCCTTGTGGTTTTTCCACAACACTGGAGAACCTCAGAAAGAGCTTGGTGGGGAGACTGAGCAGCAAGCACCTCCTTGGGCTTCCCTTGGCCTCCCTCAGGGCCTTTGCTCAGGCTTCAAGGTGTTTCTTCAAAGTGTGCTGGGGTGTGCTATCATCCTCATCAAGCTCTTGGGTGGACCTATGGCTGATTGGGTGAGGTCGTCTGCCTCCTGTAAGACTGTCTATGGAATGGCTCCTGAACCCAGGGAGGAAGATGTTTTCCACTCCTGTTTGGGAGGAGGGAAGAACTAGTTATCTGGAGATGTCCTTGGAAGGACTGCCCTGAACCTGTCTGTCCTGGATGCTTCCTGGAGGCTATGATGGTACTCATCACACAGCAGTAGAGGCTGTTGCCTGGACTCCATCAGTGAAGAATGCAGCAGGCTGAGTGGAGAATGAGTGGGAGCTTGCTTTGGAGTTTAAAATAGCAGGAGGCCAGCCTCAGAGCCGCCTGCTGCTCCTGGCACCCAGCTGTGACAACCACCCCCTTGGACTCCTTGGCTGGACCTTGTTGGGCAGTCTGCCTGAGCCTGGGGTGGGGGGCAGCTTCCACCCCGATGCCCTGCTGCTGGGGGGCCATATGTTTATTCTCTGGATTACTGGGTTGTTGTCTGCAGCCTTGCACTGTGTGCTGAGCTGAATGGAACTGATGGGCAATGGACCACACTTGAAAGGCTGCTGAAATACAAAAGGTGGATGAGAGCTGTGGGAGGCTGCACTGCTCCTCAGCATGCTCTTTTCAACCACAAGCCTTTCTCAGCATCAGCCAGGGAGGGCCCTGCTCCTGGCCTGCAGATTTCCACCCCAGCTCTACCCAGGAGTGCAGCCAACAGTGCCTGAGAACCTGCCCAGCCAGATTCTTACTTGGGCCCTGGAGAAGTTCCATAGGCTCCAGGCCAACCCTCTGCTCTCTTGCCTGCTCCATTTTCCGGTGGGGCATGATAAACCCTAGCCTAGGCAATGACTACAGACAGTGCCAGGCCTGGAAATCCAGGGCCTGAGGTCTGGGCAAGGCGAGGCCTAGGCTCCACATTTTGCCTTTGTTCGGCTGGGCTATTTTTAAAAGCCTGTGGTTCGAGCAGGAAGCTATCATGAAAAGTTTTCCTAGGCAAAGTTGCTTTTGAAAAGAAAAATGACAGCCCTTCTTAGGAGATCAGAGGAACCCTGCCCTGCCCTGCCCCACAGCTGAGAACAGGGCCTTGACCATTCAGAGTGGGTTCAATCTCTCACAGCTGCCAAGTCTGGCCACAACAACCTCTAAGGTATATGTGGTGGACAAAGCCTATGTGCCAGAACCTTGGGGCAGAACCATGGATATTGATTCTGGCCAGAGAAAGCTGAGTTGCATCTGCAAAAGGCCCTGTGCTCTAGGGCTGTGGTGACACATCCCTTGGGAGTTCATGCATGCCCATTAAAAGCTCTGACTGGCATGGAGGCTCATTCTACCCTGTTCACTGTGGGACACCAGAGAATTCAGGTCCGGGGCCCTGGCAGGGCTAAGCAGTCAGACCACCTCTTCCTGCTCATCTCTTTGAGTAGCTTGGCTGGGAAGACACAGGTTATAAAATACAGAGGTGACATGGGTCTTGGCCCTCTCACTTCACAGGTGAGCTAAGGAAAAGCAGAGACAGATCTCACTTCTGAACCGGTCATAGATCCCATGGTTGAGGGGAGAGTTCAGACAAGGGAATGTTCAGGTAGATGTAAATGGTCTCTGTAGGTAGCTAGGTCAACAGGTAGGTCAGGGGCTCAAGAGATATCCCTTTCAGAGACAGGGTTGAGGGAAGACTGAGGTAGCTCAGGGACTGGTTAGGGCTCCTGGGTCCTAAGATCATGCCATGCAGAGATAGTGGCACCTCTGCCCTGGTAAGAACTGGCCAGGCGGCCAGTGGGTGAGCAGGCTGGGGGAGGTGGACAGCCTGTTCCAGTTTTGGAGGCAGGGGCTGGAAGCCCTGCACTTTCCAAACCGCAGAAGCCTCCTCTTTCCAGATACTTTCCCCTCTGTCAGCAGTCTCTCTGCTCCCTCCTGGCCCCTATAACTCCTCCAACCTTTCCACCAGAGAGGCCATTGATTCCAAAGGCCTGGCCAGCAAAGGATGGGGAGTAGAAGGCCCGGGAAGCACTGCCTTTTCTGATCTAGTTACTTGATGACCCATTGTTGGCCTCTACTTCCAGCGCTGTTGTTCCCAGTGTGGTGCCTGCCAGACAGCTCTACAAGTCTTCCTCAGTTGCCTGATTTAGCATAGCTCATAGAGCAAGGTCTAGCATAGCACACGTGTGTGTGTGTGTGTGTGTGTGTGTGACTACAGAATTATGCATTAGTTGGGAGATTTGTATCTATACGTACCATTGTACCTAACTGAATATGCTGTGTATTTATGGTATGAGAAGTTATGCACACATATGCTTATGTGTACTGCTGCAGAACTGTATACTGATGTGACTGTGAGTTATTAGTTGTGTGCAAGATGCATCTGTGACTGAATAGGGCCTGTGTGTGATGGCACCACTGGAATTACCTATGAGTGGGCATGTGCCCAGGACTGTGGATGCACAGCTGGGTGGGCAGGTTAGATGTGACAAGGTACTAGTCATTCCTGTAGCCTTCAGGGCTGTGCATGGGTGTGTCCCTGTGCATCTGCATGGTCATGCAGGCAAAGGCATGTCTGGGGCTCAGCATGTGATGCTATGTGGAACAGGCCCCAAACCTTTGTTTTCCTTGTGTGATCCTGGGCCCACATCCTATTTGTCTTTGCTACCAGGGCTGGAGGCTGTGCCTCAGCCTAGCCTCCTGGCAGAGTTGTTCCCTCCCACCTGGCTTTAGAGTGGCCTTTGCATCACATCTGGCCTGTTGCCTCTTCTCCAGTTTGGGACCCCTGCCCTGTATTAGCCCCCTGAGTCCAGCCCAGGTCCTGCCCTCAGGACAAGTTGGGTTCTTTAAGGCCAACACTCTGAACCAGTCATTGGCTGTAGTTATCCTGGAGTCCAGACATTCTGCAGCAGGTATCAAAACACACTCTTGCTGTCATTTGAGGGTGAGTCATTGGGCATCCCTGTTTTATAGAAAGGCCTGTGCTCACTACATACTCCTCTCGGGGGTGACAAGCTTCTTCTAGCTGTGTCATCACCACAAAGAGCACATGCTCTGCTCTACTGTGTGAAAGGAGAGACTGAGCACCCACAAGTCTGAAAGTCAGCAGATGTTTAGGGGGGCCTCTGGAGGCTCCCCACCCCCCATGTTCCTGGATGTTAGGAAGGCTCTAGGCCAGAAAGCTCTGAATTAGCAAATGCCTCAGCTCCCCAGTCAGCCCAGGGCCTCCCTGGAATCCTCTTGATCGGGCCCCTCTTGAGGTCCCAGAGGCTACTGCTCCTGTTGGGGCATGACCCCTCCTCATCAGAGCCGATTGGGACAACGATGGGTCTGGCTTCTGTGCCCTTTGGAGTTCAAGTAGAGCTGACTGAAAAAGAACTGTGGGATGGCTCAATTTTCTACTCAATTTTCAAGCAATGGCCAAGGGAGTCTTTATCAGTGAAAGGAGGCGGTGAAAGACAGAGAATGGGAAACTTTGCAGAGACAGAGACACTCTTGGTCTCTACTATGCAGTGCTGAGGATATGATATACAGGTGGCCTTTTTTTTGAGACCCACAAACTTTCTCATCCCTCTCCTCTCTTCCTTTCTGGGGGACACATAACCACATCCTAAGTCCCACGACCCCAATCCCCAGGGAACTAGCATGCCAGAGCTGCCCCTAGAGCCATTCCAATTCCCAAGCAAGGCCTTGTCCCCACTCCAAGCTGCAGAGAGTGAGAGAAAAGTCTGGCCTAATCTGGGTGAGTCAGGAGGCCACAGGTAGAGCAGAACACGAAAAGAAGAAGGTGTTAGTGAGCGACACACAGCTGCTACGGGGAGGAGAGGCAGGTGCCCACAGTCACCTCGGCTGTGCTGCCTGTTGACCATCCCGCCCAGGGTCCACCGGCGATCCAGGCGCCGCAGATGGGCTTTGCGTCTCTTGGACACTGGCGTGAGAGATGGTGATGGAGCCCACGGCCCACACGAACCGAACCGGTGGAGAGAATGGAGATGAGGATGAGAGGGGATGGTGGAGGGTGGAGGGTATGAGGGAAGGCGGTGTGTCCACATTGCCTAGTTCCCATCACCTAGACTGAACTGAGGGGCACACTCCAGCTCCATGAGGAATGACCTGCCAGGTGGCATGGTCAGTCTGTGGAGAAACATTCAAACCACTCAGCTTCTACCCCTGAATCTAGGAATGGACTAATGAATTATAGGCCTCAGTACCTTAGAGATGGGAAGGGTCCTGCATACCAGCCCAGGGAGGGGAGCCCCTCAATTGCAGCCTTAGGGATGGAGGGGAAAATCATTGCTCCTCTGGGTCCTAGAGTGTACTGATATCTGCTCACTCACCAAGCATGACCGTGAACTTGCCACCATAGACTGAACACCGTGTGGGGAGGGATGTGTACCCAGGGGAGATAGTGGCTTTCTTGTAGACCCGGGGGTCTCCCTACACTGGACTGATTTATATCTTTGCTTTCTTATTTGTCCTCACTTGGTGGGGGTCTGTTGAGGGCAATAACTTTGCCTTATGTCTCTGTGTCCCTAGGCCTTACAGAGTCAGGTACTGGCCCAGGAAAGGTTTGCTGAATGAAATGCATATGGAAGATGCCACAGGTCAGGCTCTTCTCCACCATGCATCCATTTATGTCTCTGATGACAGAGACCATATCTCCCTAGCCTAGCTTCTCACTGCTCAAGACAGCTTTGCCTGGACCTGGCAATTGTCCTGCAGTGAATGCTGAGCTACCATGCCCCCCTGTGCTCAGGCATGGCTTTACATGTCCTGCCTTCCTAAGGGAATGGACACTGGACCAGGGCTCCAGAGTGCCAGCTGGACTTACCTCCTAGCACCAAGGGAAGCTGCTAGGCTGCCTGGTTCTGGTGAGGTGGGCTGGCTGGTAGAGAGTGTAAAAGTAATACATACATACACACAGACACACACACACACAGACACACACACACACACATGCCTGGGCCAAACCCCAGTAAAACCTGGGAGTATCTGCTCTCCTTGGGAGGAGAGTGACCTGTGCAACCTGCTTCTTATAGATGCCAGACAACAGGATACCAGTGTAGGCTCCAGCCCAGTCCCACTCATAGTCCTTCTGTTAACCTATGGAGGTTCTGTGTCCTTGTCTGTCAGAAGGTGATGTCTTCTGCTCGAACATGGGCTGAGACAAGGTATGAAGGGGCACTGTGATCTCATTGGTCATAGGGTGACATCTCCTGCTCTAAAATGGGCTAAGACAAAGTCTAAAAGGATGCTGGGAATATTAATCAGGTCTTATGGGAAGTGTTCCAGTAGGGTGTGATGAAGAAGCAGCTATGGTGTTCCTAGAGCTAAGTCTTTCTGTGGATCTGGGCAGGAGCTTCCCAAGCTGTGGTCAGAGGTGCTGGCACGCAGGTCCTACCAGAAGCATGCAGAGGAGAGACAGGATGGGTGCACATATACACTCATATACACACACCTGGGAACATGGAAGGTGTCCTGGCTGCCTAATTCCTACTCCATTAAGGTCAGAGTCTTCCAGTTAGCATCAGCTGTCAATCTGACACAGCCCAGAGCTATCTGACAGAGTTTCAATTGGGAGATTGTCTTCATTAGATTGGCCTGTGGCCATGTCTGTGGGGGCATTTTCTTGACTGCTAATTGATGTAGGAGGGCCCAGCTCACCTAGGGGTGGTACTATCCCTAGACAGGGGGTCTTGGGTTATATAAGAAAGCTAAATGAACAGAAGCCAGGGAGCAAGCCAGTAAGCAGTGCTCCCCCATGGTTTCTGCTTCAAGCTCCTGCCTTGGCTTCCCTGGATGATGGGTTATAACCTATAAGAGGAAATAAACCCTTTCCTTCCCAAGTTACTTTTGGTCATGGTGTTCACTGCAGCAAAATAAACCTAACTAGCACAATCTGCTATTATTTTTGTTCCACGCAAAGCACTCACGCTCTGTTCTCACTAGGCCTGCTGGGCCTCTTCATGCTCTTGTTCCTGCTCAGTGTCTGGGGTCTCTACTGCTACCCACTACCCCTTCTCTGCCCTTCCTAGTGCAGCCTTTTCTATCACACACTCTCTCTGATGAGCCCAGAGTGACCTTCCCTATTCAGGAGAGGATATTCCACAGGCAGGTGCATGGTGCAGTGGTGAGGATCACTTGTATACAAACTAATGAAGACAAATGTATAACTAAACATTTTGAGCCTCTGTCCTTGTATTTGGAAATATGACATATATCATCTACCAGGGTGGGTAAGAAGGATTTGCCATTGGTCTGACATTGGGGCCTTTTGAGTAGTTTTATTTTTTTTGAAAGAGTCCCCTGTAGCCCAGGCTGGCCTTGAACTTGCTATGTAGTCAAAGATGGCCTGAACTCCTGATCTTCGTGCCTCTACCTCTCAAGTACTAGGATCACAGGTGTGTATCACCACACCCAGGGAGCTGCTGTTACTGAAAGGCCCAGGTTTACCTTGAAGATAGGGTACTAGGTAGGAGGCAAGGTCTGGAGACAGCAGACAGATTGGATGATAGACTCGGAGTGGAGATGTAGACTCAGCCCAAGGGCTCAGGGGAGAGCTCAGTCTGAATGCCCCAGCTCTTCCCAAGGAGGCCGAGGGTCTGGAGGCCTGTCACAAGGTTGATGGCGTTGCAGAGGCCCTGCTCTAATTGTAGGGCTGAAATAAAGTACTGACACAGGAAGAAGGGTGGGACCGCAAGCACCAGCAGAGTGGCTGACAACTTGGGGAAGGGTGAATTGAGGAGCTGGTGCTTGGTAAGCTGTGTATGTTGACCTGGGCAGTAGGGAGGTGGGGACAGGAGGTGGGTGGTAGGCTTACATCTTTCTAGCCTCAGACACAACCATCTGAATCATCCCTGTTGACCCTTAGGGAAAGAATTCCTGCTGCCAGGCCACAGAAGTTTGAAAGGCATTAGGAGCAGGGAGGTGGGAACTAGCTCAGACTTACTGGGGTAGTGCTAGCTTAGTAGGCAGAGGCAGTCTCTGTGAAATGCATGAAGAAACACTCAGAACAGCCTCATGGAGCCAGAGCCAGCCAACCAGAGTGACTGTGTAGGAGTCTTAATGCCCCCAGTCCGTGAAAAGTTGAGAGGTTGCTAACAGGCTAGCGTGGGTCTGTACCATTGGCCAGGCTGCCAGTACTCAGAGTAGGGGTTATTGAGGAAGACTATGCACAGCAGAAGTCATGTCCACATAATCACCTGGGGGAAATCACAGCGTGGGGCTGGGAGTGAAGGCAGGTCTGTGAGGGGTTCCTTAGGAGAAGCCTAGGGTTTCTGGGAATGAACTTTCTAGTGGTTTCTAGCTTTAAGTCTGTTCTCTACCCCAAAGTTGCCAAAGTCTGAGGTCCACAACCCAGTAGAATTTTCCCTATTCTGTGCCCCATGTGGGGGTTGGCAAAGATGGGCCCAGGTAGGAAGTAAGCTGGTGGGTTGGCCTCAGTAAATGGATCCCAATGGAAGGGGACTGGGTATAGTCCAACCCACTTTAGGAGTTCAGATGGCTTAGAGAGAAGAGTAGGGGAATTACCTCCAGGATGGGCTGACCCCAAATAGCTGACCCTTCAGTCCAGCCTTACTACCCTCCTCTCTGAAAACCCATAGGCCCTCACCTTCCCCAGTCTTGGAGGTGTTGATGTCCGAGTCGTCCCGTGTGCCATTCTGGGCTTCCAAGTAGGTGGCAGGGACCCAACCCTGCTCTTCAGAGGTGCTCACAAACCACCAGCCTGCAGAGGGGACATGAGAGGACAGACTGAGTTCCTGCAGGATAGTGAAGGCAGGTTGGGGCCAGGAGGAGGGAGGGAAGGAGTGGCTAGTGGGCAAGGCATGGAGCCAGACAACCTGGGCACCAGGCAAATGCCTTAAGAGACTTGCATCTCATCTATGGTAGAAAAGACTAATACACTCTCTGAGAAGAGAGCCTGGTAGACGCTCACCCACTCTTGTGCATGCATGGAGCAGAAACAACAGTATCCCTCACGTGTGGACTACGTCTTACAGGAGAGGTGAGGTGAGCTCTGTCTAAGAATGGGCCACCTGGATCTTTCTACCCATTAGCCCCCCCTTTCTTTTTTTTTGGTCTTTTTGAGACAGGGTCTCCCTGCAGCCCCAGCTGTCCTGGAACTCACTATGTAGACCAGGCTTTGAACTCACAGAGATCCCCCTGCCTCTGCCTCCCGAGTGCTGGGATTAAAGGTGTGTGCCCCATTTTTAAAAAAAAATTTATTTATTATTTTTATTTTATTTGTATGTGTTAGGCCTGCATGTGAGTGCACCTGTGTGGTGCAATGCCTGCAGAGGACAGAAGAGGCTGTTGGATCCCCTGGAACTGGAGTTACGGACAGTTGTTAGCTGCCATATAGGTGCTGGGATTCAAACCCGGGTCTTCTGCAAGAACAATTAGTGTTCTTAACCACTGAGCCATCTCTCCAGCCCCCATTATCCCCATTGGTATGGAGTTGAGCAGTGGTTTTGGTTCTGAAGGCCTCTGGACTGACAGTCAGCTGTTTCCTTTTCCCTAGCACGGGTCAGCGGTGTTTCCACTTCAGCTACTCACAGCTGCCCTTGAAGTGTGTTGACACTGCAATCACAGTAAGTGGGCACTGCATCCTCATGTGACTTCTGACAATCAGGGCCACATGAGAAAGGCTCATTCATGTCTCCTGTTCATTCATAATGCTTGCTCACTCATTTGTTCATTCATTCATAAATCAGTTACAGAACAAAATGTCTGAGCCCCCAGGTCTTGGGACCCCTGGTTGTTGTCAGACCCTTCCTGGAGGTCCTTCCTCCCCTGTCTGATTCTCTTTTGTTCTCCATGGAATCTGGTACATCTCCTTTCTGTTTAAGACAGAGTTCTCTAGATCCCGTCCAGAGGCTACATGTTTTCTCCTCGGGCAGCAGAAAGTGGCAGCCTGAGGAGGCGGCACAGTGGCATTCCTCTCAGGCACCCCCAAACTGGGCTGAGCCTAGGAAGATGGAGGAGGCTGCCCAATGAGAATAGAGAGACAAGGAAGACCAACCAGCTCCATCCCAGATGGCCAGGCCTTAGAACCTAAGTCATTTTCTAGGTCTTCAACTAGGTTCTCACTGTCCCTTAGAAAAAACCTGGGTTTTCTAATAAACTGTGGCCTAGCCCTGAATGCTATTCCAACTTCACAATCCTTTGCTTGCAGTTCTGCAGAGCCCACTGAGGCCCTGGCCTGTTTGCCTCAGAGGCCTTGGTTGGGTTATTGACTTTGCAGAGTCTCGGCTTCCTCTGTCACAGAGGGGGTTGGAGCAATTCTCTGGCTCAAATGCCATGATCCAGGGCCCTTGCTAGTAGCCTATAAGTATCCATTTCTTCCCAGAGTGAAAAAGAGGGCAGCAGGAGTCCTTCTCCCAAACCCCAGGTCTAGTCCCTCTGCTCCTTGGGCCTTCTCCCAGGTCTGGCAACCATAGTAACCAAGGCCTTCCCCTGACACAGCCCATACAAGTCTGAAGAAGGCAGCCTGGGTCTGGGAGTCATAAGCTATCAGTCAGGAAGAACTGGGCATGTGCTGCCATTGCTGGTGGAAGTGATGCCACAGGTCTAACAGGGTCTGGCTTCAAATTCTGACCCTTCCAAGATTGCTCATTTGGACTGCCCATGCCCTGGACGCCTCCTGCTATGGTCGCTATGGTCACAGATACAGAGGAAATGAGACACCATGTACATAGTGACTAGAATTTGAGTATTGGACTCTTACTCCTGCACTGTGCTTGCCACGGCAGGACAAGCCATACAGGCAATCTCCATGGAACCTTCTCATCTAGGTTTTCTTTCCAAAGGCCCTGAGGACTTTGACATCTGGCTCATCACTTGGACCAGAAAAAGGTAGCTGGGCCAATCTACAAGATGATGGGTCTCTGGGTCAAGGCAGAAGAGAGGCTTGACTTCTTATGAGAGAACTGAGGCCACTGAGCAATTCAGGACAGGAAGGTACTAGGACCCACTTGTGGGGACAGGGTAGCGGCAGGCCAGAAGCTAGGGATACTCTATTGACACCCCCTAGCTTTTCCCTTCCTCTGGGGATAGATGTGGCTGCTGGGGCACCAGACAAAGGGGCTCAGTCAGTTTCTGCAGAAAGAGACTAGGTCCTGGCTCATACCCTGTGAACTGACAAGAGTTAGATGTGCTTTCAGCACCCTTGAAAATTAGTGACAGTGGGAAATGGATGCTCACTTTGAGGCCAAGAGCAGACTGGAGGTGGTTCTTGGTTGTGGGAGGTCCCTGCTCACCCTTTGTTTGTACCTAGAATGTCCTGACATCTGAGCAACAAGAGGCCAACACTTATGCTGTCGGTGGTAGGAGGAAGAGTGACAGAACCACCATTCATGGATATGAAGAGAGGGTTTTTACTTTCTACCTCTTTGAATCAGGAAGACTCCTAAGCACCAAGAGTTGGTCAAAAAACAGCAGGCTGTCTCCATTTTGAGGTCCAAGGAGGTTTCTCTGTCTACTCTTTGTAGAGATGGCTAGCAGGTGTCAAAGAGCTCTGGTCACCCACTCATGGAGAGAAGCAAGGAGGCAGTCATGGGGATAGCAAGCATACCAACTACTCCATGACCCTAGGTTTGGAGTGGAAACCTTTCTACTCCTCTGCCAGAGTCAGGTGGCTGAAATACTATATAAGCTTGTGTGTCAATCCCCATGTCTTGCCTGGGGATAGGCATGGGCTTCCTTCACCTCACTTGTGGTCATTAGTATATCTGAACACCATCCTGCCTGAGGCCACTGATAGAGCAGTTTGCAGCAGCACCACCGTCCTCCCTGAAGCCTCAACAATGGCTTGGTTGCTCAAAGGCAGATCCCCAAAGCAGCCAGAGGACATGGACTTTACAGAGCTCCCTGCCTGGACTATCTCCTCACTCAGCCTCTGGAGAAGCACTTTTGGAACTCTAAAGTCTCCCCAAAGGTCCCTGTGCAAGTAGTTCTTCCACAGATCCTGGCTGGAGATCATGGAAGAGGGATGCCCCACTTCACCAGGTTTTGTATCATGTGGCCCTCCTTTTACCACAGAAATTGGTATATTTGGCCCAAATCCTGAGTGGCCTGTCATTTCCTTGTGATAGTTCAGGGACAGGTCTGTGACCCTCAACAAGGCTGCTCAGGGGTGTTTTCAGGAACTGATCACAGATGCTTTGATGCTCTGAACCCCGAGTCCCACAAAAAGTAGAACTATGGGGGGGGCATGGTACACAGGGATGGGGAGTGCATGAGAGCCAGCGTCCTGATAGACATCTTCAGGGCTCCTGGTTCTGTGTGCTAAAGTCAGATCATCCCAGCTGGAATTTCTCACTGCTATGAATCAAGGAACTTCCTGTATGGTTTAGTTTCTACCATTCTCACTAGTCTTCCCTAAGGATCACTAAGCATGACCATTCAATGTCCCCAAGTAAGCCATGCCTGGAGAACAAGAGTCAGCTAGGTACCTGCTGCTGCAGACCTCAGAGGGTGGGGACTGAGTCCTTTAGGCAACTAGTCACTCACCCAAAACCTGCTCACCAGGAGAACCCTCAAGAACTCAAGGAGTAGTCACTATAGCGTCCAACCTGTGGTGACATTTGAGAGGTTCTTGAAAGCCAAAGCTCACATGTGCATCCCCAGGCCTAGGTCTGATGCCGAGAACAATATGGTGGCTCCCACACCTCTCAGATCCTTCTCCTGCTGACCTCTAAAGCCCCATCCACCTAAGGCAAGTCATAGTGCACTAGGTGGCTTGTAGGGGATGTTGGGGAGGATGTTTCATCTGCATGTGACTGTGAGACCTGGAACGCCCACTTTCTTAGGGAGGAATCTTCCTCATTAGTCCTATCTAACCCAGTTGATATCTGAACTTCCAGGAGGCAGGTCCCCAGGCCTATCACATTCTTGCTCCTACCCTCCCCCTCCTGTATGGTCCTTTGTCCTTGTCTCAAGGGGCTGTCACCCCAGGGCCCTTCTCCCCTAATTTCCCCTTGTGGGAATTCTTCTTTGTGCATGCTGCTGCCTCCCTTCCTATGGAGCCAGGGTGTGGATGGAGGATGCTTCTTTGGGCAGGGGCAGGCCTGGTACCCTGGCCTACCTCTGCTGTACAGGCCTTGGTACTTGGTGTGGGGGCTGGACAAAGACTTGCTGAGAGGCTGAATGGATGTCAGTGGTGCCCAGTGAATGGGAGCACTGGGTTCCTGTGTACCCCAATACCATCTCTAGACGCCTTCTTTGAAATATGACATGCCAGAAGCTTCTGAGGTATCTGGCCACACTTAAGCATCTTCACTTTCCTACACAGCGACTTAGGACTTCCTTCTCTTGCTTAGTCCCAGTACCTGGGCTGAGATCATCACCATCCTCACAGGCTGGTGGCCAGCACTGCCTAGGAACACTAGCCTAGGTGTCTACTACAGACCCAATACTTGCAGGTTGGTATCAGGTCAGACGATGGCTGTAGAGAAAAGGTTGACACCAGCTCAGCTGTGGGCACCTCCACTGAGGCAAGATGGACAGGCTGAAACACTGCTTAAGTGGGCACAAGAGAACATGGGCAGAAGTGCCTACCTGGCTCCATGCAGAGCCTCCTTGGGTTTGTTCCCATCCACAGCTGCTGGTAAGCCTCTCACAGGTGCCAGTGGCAGCAGCAGGAGCCAGCAAGGCCTGCGGGGTTCCCAGATGCAAGCATAACACATGCACCTTTCCTGCAATGCCTAAGTATATGCCTGGACAAAG